AAAAAAAAACGCGTGCAAATCCACTATCTAGATCTTTTGCTGGAGCCTGGGAAAAATTTGTTTTGAATAATTGCCAAAATCAATGTAAAAGCTGCGATCAATTAACAATAAAAGAAAAACGCTTCCTTGGTTTCTAGTATGGCTTTTTGGGAGTTGCCTAGTTGCAATTATAACTCGCAAAGACTTCACGGTCTCTGACCGGTTCATTCTTTTGCTAGCCTGCTAATACATCGCTAATGTGCTTATTTATCAATGAGTCTGAAATCGGAGCGCTTAGTTTTTATATATGTAATCATGAATGCTTCAACAATAACAGACACTTACCTTCTGTTTCAGACGGGCCAAACTCTTCCATGCTAGTTTCCTCAGGACCCATTGCTTCCCACTGTCCTAGTGACGACTGTATGAATTGTTAATCCAGTTTACTAATGCATGGGTCACTGCGAACTTTATACTTACTGTGACTGCTGTCGTGTCCTCGGCTTTATCTACTTGTGTCCATGTGCGAAATGTGGTTGTGGTTGAAGGTGCCATAGTAACTCGTTGGACCAGGGGTTTACGGCGATCAATGAACGTCTATAATGCAAAATGCTGTTAGAAATCTCGAATTTCGCTTGCAAAATTCAGCTGATGCGACTTGAAGTAGTCCGGACAACTCCTTGAAGGTCTCTTGTGAAGGTTCGTCTAGGGATGTCTTGATTCCTTTTTGAGCCTGCAGTACGAATTGTTTAGAAGCTTTCGCTTCATATGGCCATGTTACCCGTGTAGCTTTAGCACTAGTCGAGGTGACCGGTTTTCGCTTTACCTTCGAAGCGGGTGAGATCACTGAAGCCACGGAACGGTCGTCCTCAAAGTAAAACTCGTAATTTCTTTTTTTTTGACTAAAAATAAGTGATTTCACCTACCAGCCGGAAATTATCAACCTTCTTTGCTATTGACAGGGATTTTAGCGCATCTCTTGGGACTGTCATCATGGGACCAGCGCGTATGGCAGATTCTGGAGGTGTCATCAGCTACAATTGCTTTGATTCACCTCATGAAGTTTTAGGTAAAAAGAGCGGTGCAAACATACAGAAACAATATTATCTTCATGCATTGCATCCAATGCAGGGGGTGGTTCATTCAAGAGTTCAACGGGAATTCTCGAAACGCTGCCGCGACCTTTGCCTCTCACAAAATCGCGTAGGGACGCTCGCTCCCAATCATCCAAGGAGCGTAGAATCTCTCCTTGCAGAGCTGCACCAAAATAAATTAGCAATAGAAGTGTGACTTCTTTTTTTCGGAAATGGAGTCTATGAAGAGGTATTGACTCACGGTAATTGTCCAAAGCTGCTGTCAATGCTTTTTGTAAATGAAGCAATATGAGCACTGCTAACATGGTCTCATGTTAACTATAAAATACATACTTTGAAACTGAACAACTCTTCAGATCATAGCAGCTGATTACGATCTCACAGGATATAACCGGAATTTTTCGCTTTAGTAGGGGGAAATTTAACAAAAAATCTTACAGAAAAAGTCAAAGGAGAGTACGACAGTTGATTTTCGCACAATAGGGAATTTTTTGCAAAAAATTACGTAGCTAATTCTCACTATATTCTGGTGATTATTGTGTGTTCTGATAGTTCAAAAATAAAACTTGCAGCTCAGATGAGGAGAAAAGTAGTGGTGAGGGTGAGAGCCAAAAAGGACTGAAAATGTTTTTAGATGAACTGCCATAGAAAGTAAGTAAACTTTACGTCATCAAGATTACACATTCCTTTCTTACAGCGTAAGAAAAGCAAACGATAAAAATGATGACCCATAGAACGAAGATTGCGACAGAATAGGAGGCCTTGTGAAAGTTCTTGAATTCAATTTCAATCCAACTATAAAATGGAAAGTTTGCGAGGTGAAAGATATTAAAGACGGTCTACTGCAATTAGCATATCAAGAGTGTTGTGGCTGAAGATGGGCACAAGTGAGTTTGGCCACCTAATAACTCACTGACCCAGATCCCGAACGGTAATTGAGGCGCGCACCTCAAATGCGCATGCTTTTGTTCCGGAATAATCAGAAAGGACATGTCAAGTTGAGCGGTGACAGACTAATAGTAGCGATTCTTTTTTTGAACATTGCTAACGAAAACGCTTGGAAAGTGGACCCAGGAATTTGCAGAAAAATTGGCTCAATACCGCTTTTGCGAAAAAAGATTCACTAACAGCAATCGCACTAGCACTACCGGGTATGAACTGACTAAATGCTGTAAAGAAGGTGCATTGCGCATTTTCTGGGTCGTGGCCGGCCATGGGGCCCAGATATCGTTCTTTGTGGCTTCCTTGAATTTCTTGTTGTTTGGGCGCGATTGTGCTTGACTGAACCTTATTGATTACTGGTAGTACACCAACAACATCCTTCGTATAGTTGTACATATCAGCAAAATTGCTCACTTGTCTGTAGATGCGTAGGAATCAGAGGCGATCCCAGGCTTCTGTTCGGAAAGGGGGGAGGGAATGACTTTTGAACACTCTAAATATTTTTTTTT